GATGTATGACATGGATGGAAATGTTTGAACCAAACATTTATCGCTGTTTTTGACGTGTTTTGCGATGGGCCTATCACACGTCCTGTTATCACGATGACGATAATTTTTCGATATATTGTGCAGCCCTACTTAAAAAGTTGTTTTCTTGCCTCTTAACAAACATTGTATAGCTATAAATATGATGTGGAGATAAAAAAAAAACAATGACAAGTATTAATAAAGTGGTTCTCTTGCATTTGTTTAAAACCTCTACCAATAACACGTTCTGGACCGAACGCACTGATTGGGCCAACTTGTTGTCGGTCTCACTGAACCGCCGCTCTTCATTGGGTCCTCCATCCATTACACACTCGTGTATTTAGCACCAGAGCACCACAGATGTGAGAGGTTCTCCACTCGGTGACATCAGAGAAGGAGAAACAGACAGCTGCTACCGCTTCAATGACAAACTTCCAGAGTTCCTAAAAGAAAAACAACCTTTTAAGTCTTGGACAACAAAAGATGTTTGAACCTAGAAAACTGAGCCTGGTGTTTAGCGTTATCTTGTTTCTTCTGGCATTGCGGGTTTCTGGATCTAGCAGAAACGTTTCAGGGAAGATACCTGAGGTATACCTGAGTGTTCCGTGAGTGTGTTTATGTTTAAAACCTAGCTTCTTCTGCAGATTCGTTATAGCGGCTTTAAGAAATTCTGCATCGGTTTTTTTGGGGATGTTCTGATCACATTTATTTGCTCCTGATCACATTCATTTGATTCTGAGTACCGTAATTTCCGGACTATAGAGCGCACCGGGCTAAAAGCTGCAGATATCTACTGAATTGAAAATGTAGTTTAACTGAACGTAACTGAACTGATCAGTATCAAACAAAACAGAAAAGTTATTGATTAGTTTATTCATCGTCCTCCTGCGCACTGAAACCACTGAAGTCCTCTTCTTCTTCAGTGTCGGAGTTGAACAGCCTCAGAAGAGCTTCGTCACATATCTTTTCTGTGGCGATGTCGGTGTCGCTCTCCGTGTTGCTGTCATCATCCCGGGGTGAAGCTGGGAAAACAAGCAGCACCGTTTTAAGCCGGGCGTACACTGTGCGACTTTTTCACTCGCAGCGTTCAGCTTCAGCTCAAACTGTACGACTTCCTCGCAGGGCAGATCTCACGAGTCATGCGCTCACACTGTACGACCCAGTTCTCGGATGCGACCTGACTGCTCACACTGTACGTCTGGTAGCAACACGTCGGCCCTAAAAATGTGCTAAAAATAGCAGTTTTTACTCAACACGTCAGACTTTTTTGTCTTGCCTGTTGTCCTTCGGGAGTGCTGCAGGACGACACAAAGGGATTTATGGGAGTTGGATGAGGAAAACGAAATAAAGAAAGTGAATCTGTGTTTTGTGATCAGTTTAATTTGACATGAACACGACAAACACGCTTTCTTGACAATCTTTGTGAGTAAAAAAAAACGTGTAGAAACAAAAACGAACAGCGTGTGTTATTAGGGAAATAGCGAGCGACCGGCGTTGATGCAGGATTGCGCGCGCATGCGCCGTGAGCGGTTCTGATACTTTTTTGGATCGTAGCTGCTCGCATCTGCTCGCAGCGCCGCTTCAACAGTGCGATACCCTCACGAGGGACGAGCGAAATATTAAACACACCAGAAGTCCCTGCGACCTCACGACTGCTGATCGGCGGCTGGTCACGTGGTGTTAATCGCCTCTCGTAACCCCCTGTACACTACACGACCGCTCGGCGCAAAACTCGCCCCGATGTCGTGGCTTCTCGCACGACTGGAAAATAGGCTCAAAAAAGGGAAAAAGTCGCACAGTGTACGCCCGGCTGTGAAAAAAAATCCTCCTGGGCGCTTTCTGTAGCGCTCCTTTGGCCATTCCTTCATTAGACTTTCCAGCATCCATCCTTTCTGGTTGACTAAAGCCGCACCTAATTATAAGCCGCATGGTTCAAAGCGTGGGAAAAGTAGTGGCTTATAGTCCGGAAAATACGGTAACTGCCAATATCAAGTAATGATCCCAAACTAATAGAGTAAAATAGGAAAGAGGGTAAACTCACCCGATTGTTGTTTTTAAGGTTATATCTGCTCTTTTCCACCTGATTTCGAATCGCGTAATTGGGCCCGATATCCGATCACATGATCAGGTTAGGGTTAGTTGGAGAAAACCAGTTAAATTACACTTGTGGTGCATTTAACTAATTTATGGTTCTTTTTATTTAGGAAAAAAACATCCCATCAGCGTTTATCTTATTTGTGGTCCTGTTGTAAACAATGGCAATTTCTAGATGACCTGTTTTTTTGTGTTTGTTTAGCAACAACCCATCTCCACCTTTCTTTTAGTGTGTTGAGGAAAACTTCTGTTAAAGCACTAGATTAGAGGATATTGATATAGAAGAATCTGCATTGAAAGGAAATCCATATTAATTGTGTGTTTGGCAGCTGAAGGGCGCAGATGGTAGGCTGAGATAAGAGAGGAGATAAGGAGCACCAGGGTTTAACTTAGCCAAGGGGTAGACCTCCCCATGTACATTCTCTCTGTTTACAGTGCTGCTGATCGTGTGTGTGTGTGTGTGTGTGTGTGTGTGTGTGTGTGTGTGTGTGTGTGTGTGTGTGTGTGTGTGTGTGTGTGTGTGTGTGTGTGTGTGTGTGTGTGTGTGTGTGTGTGACGGGATCAGTTCATCTTCCGCATTCCTCCTCAGATCAGTGCAGTCAATCATAATGCAAACCAAATAACTCCAAACTGACTGTGCGCGCACACACACACACACACACACATACTAAAAGTAGACTTAAGCAGTGACGCTGCCCTAGATGCTAAAGCCTGCAGCCATGGAGTCCACACAGGAAGGCCTCGTTCAACCTCTCTTTGAAGTGCGTACGGACTGCTGGTATGTGTAAGTGTGTGTAGGTGTGTGTTTGGGGGTTTTCTGTATGTTTCTGCTCTTCTCATTTTAACATGAATACATTAACTTCTGTGGAGAACCATACACATCAAAGCCATGCCTCGGCCTTCAAAGGCTCAGCTCAGAATGCATCTCTGTCTTCCGCCTGGTCAGAAAACTTTAGTGTAAGCACTGCAGGGCACGTGACACACACACAGACACACACACAGACACACACACACACACACATGCACAGACACACACACAAACAGACACACACACACACACACACACACACGCACAGACACACACAAACAGACACACACACACGCACACACACACACACGCACAGACACACACACAAACACACACACACACGCACAGACACACACAAACAGACACACACACACGCACACGCACACACACACACACACACACACACACATACACACAAAGAGAAAATCCAAATTGTTGAAGGAAGTTTGATATGAGCAGCATTTTTTCTCTGCATGTATTTGAGTATTTTTCTTGCTGTTTTTTCACTTTTAAAATCTTTTTATTATTTATTTAACACAATGCATCACCTCTGTGTTAAACATTCAGCTTTTGTGCAAATTTTGTAACAGTCGTCTGGTGTCCGACTGATACCAGATCTAAATGGTAAGCTAAAGCTATGTCATCTAGAGTCACACCCTTTATGTCACACTGAGAAAGCAGCAGCTCTTTTTTCTGATTCTCTCATGTTTCTGTGGAACATCCGTTCTATCTGGAGTCCTCTGAGGAACGTGTGAAAAGTGTCACCTTTAAACTGCTCCCCCTTTCTGTCCATTAGTCCCAGTGTCTGACTTTAACTCTGCTGTAATACTAACACATCAGGAATAATCTCATGTAGTATTCGTAGGATCATTCTACAAATGATTCATGTCACTCTTTTATTCTAATCTTTGTGATGGGTGAATCCACGTGTCGGTGGGCTGCGCTGCGAGTCTGTCCAGTCAGGAAACAAAGACACAATAAAACTGTGTAAAACATTAACCGGAGTAATGAGAGGGCACTAACACACAACCTGAAAGTCAACAAACGTACCAAAACCCAAAAGTAAATCCTAAAATCAATCAATCATTTATTTTATTTTTGAATTCTGATGGACAACCAAGGTCTTTCTGCACAATTTAAGGCAAACTTTAAACATGAAATGAATATTTGTAGCCCTTAGAGACCTTCGGAGACATTTGGTGTAAAAAGAGGGATCTGCACACACCTAAAAAATACATTTCCTTCAAAATGATGAGTTTTTGCTCTAAAACCTCTGAAAACACCCAGTTTAGGCTTTTCAGTAGTGTTTTCCTCTTTCACATACACACACACGCACGCGCGCGCACACACACACACACACACACACACGCCTAGGGCCTCTTTATGCAGGAATGTGCCGTACTCCCCTGCTTGTGTGAGTGCAGCGGCTAAGATGCTGAACAAAGTAAAGATGGCGCTCTTTAGAAGCTCCTTGATCATTTTCTCCAGCTGAGGACTCTCAAGTCTCGCCGTTTCTTTACCGGAGACTCCCGTTGCCCCTTTTTCAGGAACTACACTCTTGGTCTTATCACCGTTTAAAGAACCAACACCTATCTCTCACTCTTACCATGGCCACACACACACACACACACACACACACACACACACACACACACACACACACACACACACACACACACACACACACACACACACACACACACACACACACACACACACACACACACCCCTCTTCCTTTGTTAACCCCTCCCCATGCATTAAAGTGTATGTTTAGGGTGTCAGAGTTAGAGGTCTGAGTGCAGGATATAACAGCTTGTGTGTGTTTAGAAGGGAGAGAGAGGTAGAAAGCAATAAAAGAAACAAATGTGTGTTTTTTCTCACCTGAGTGATTAACATAGGTGGAAAACTTTTACCGGTTTACACGTGTGTGTGTGTGTGTGTGTGTGTGTGTGTGTGTGTGTGTGTGTGTGTGTGTGTGTGTGTGTGTGTGTGTGTGTGTGTGTGTGTGTGTGTGTAGCTGTGAGGTGCTTGCAGCTTGTAAAGATCCTAGAAGGTGAGTATGTCCGTCTGTGTTTCTAGTCAAAGTGATGCAGTTCAACAAAGAGCGAGCGGCACCAGACGTGAGCCAAGAAGACCTCTCACACACTTACAGCGTCACAGGCTCACCCACCGAGACTGGATTCAGGTACATTTCCACCTGAACACGTCTTTTCTTTAGATACAGCGTTTTCAAAACCAAGCATTCAAACCTAATCCTGTTCCTGCAGCCTGAGAGAGAAGTTGGGATGTTTTTGCTGCTGCTGTTTTCCCACATGGAACAAAATAATCCCAAAGTTACTGTTGCACAAGAAGCGTACATAAAAATGGGCCCTCAGTGCAGATTTAGAATGAAACATTTTTATTCTGATGTGAGTTTTTATTCCAGAAGTCCCATTTTCCTACTGATATAAAGTAGTGGGATGAAGATAAGGATGTGGCTCATGGCTTTTTACCGCCACCAGATGTTTTAACAACTTAACATCTCGTGAAAACGTGCTGAACTGCATTTTATACCAACATCAAAATACTAAACTAATGAATTTCTTCTGTAAAAGTGGAGTTTTGACTCTAAATGGTGACACTAAATGCCATTTATTGTCTTTGGTCATTATATTCTGGTCAGCTTTCTGCCTGTGAACTACAAAAGCACCCTAGATGCTGAAGGCATACCGTTCCAACTGCAACAAGGTTTCTGCTTTTTAATGCAGTATCATCTAAAGTGTTACAGCGTGCTTATGGTGACACCCTAGACCAACAAACATCTGTCTCATGAGATCAAACCACATTTGTAGAGAAGCAGCATCCTGTGAAGTTTAACGTTTCACCCCTGTGTGGTTTTATTTGTGTCTCAGAGGACCGTCCAGCCTGGAGGAGGTGGTGGAGAAGCAGGCCGACCTGATAGAGTACCTGAAGCAGCACAATACGCTGCTGAGCAAGAGGCTGCTCAGTCTCACGGCTCAGCACTAACCGCAGCTTCAGCCCGCTGATGAGGGCCTCCTAAACCTCAGGAGAAAGCACGTGATGATTTTACTGCTTCAGAAGAGCTGAGAGACTCACGTGAGCTGATGCACCTGTACACATGCACTGATCCGCCACCTCACCTGAGATGGACAGATAACGCCGTAGGGGCGGAGCTAAAAATGGAGGATGTTAAGAGGAAATGGTTTGGAGAAGGAAGGAGTCATGGGTCACAGATCAGAGGTGAGGTTTTCTATCACTCCTCTAACCTCCAGTGACCCGTGGATGCTGCTGCTTTTGTTGCTCTGAAGACAACGGAGTAAAAAGTTCATCTGCCAGAGAGAGAAGCCATCACTGATCTGGGTTGAACCAGTGAGGTTTTATCTGCTGTTTTATTTGTCTGAATGTGTTTTTAGTCTGATCAGTCACTGATTCTTTTGTTCTTGAGGGGGGTGTTAATTGCATTGTAATAAAATTTTCAACATTCCTTTTGTGTGATTTAACCTAATTTAAAGTATGGCTGTGTCACATGAGCTGCTGTTGTTGCTGCAAAGACAAAATACCGGATCTGTCATGGCGTTTGCTCCCCGTTGGGATTCTGGCGTCCATAACTCAACAGGAAGTGTGGCGTTTATGACGGCTGTCTCATGCAGCTGTGAGTCAGAGCTCAGTGGTAACTGAGGTAAAGTCAGGGTAACACCAGCGTCTCTACCTTTAATGAGCTTTAGAGAGTTTGCGCGCATGCAGAGGAACGTTTATCTGCTCATTTTTCATATATTTCTGACACTGATCAAAAAACAAAATAAAATAACATCACACATCTCCAACCACTCCACTTAAACTTAAATCTGACAACTACTTCACTTTAAGTTGGGCCAAACAAACAAAAGTGTCTCACAAACTAGATCTGACTTCTGTGACATCAGTGAGGGGAGAAAGCGCGGAGTTTGATGTATAAAATGTGCATGGTGTGTAAAAGATGTCATCAGGATAACATCACCGATCATTCCGACATTACATCAGAAGGCCTTCATAAGCCGATAATATCAGACGTCCCTGATTTAGAGTCAACTTACATTTCTCCACAAACTAATCTCAAAGTAAATGAAACAACACACACACACACACACACACACACATCTTTATTCAAATGTTTTAAATGTAATTTACTAAACATCTGAAGTGCGTACATACATTATAAACACCGTAGGAATACTGTACAGGCACATCCAGCTCTTTGGTCTCTGAGTTGATGCTCGTTTAAAAGATAAATAACGTCCCGACTTCTCTGGGGTTGAAGATTCAGATTGCATCTTTTTTTTTGTTCATCAGATCTTCATCCACAGCTTCAGGGCCTTTCCTAGGTTTGTCCACCTGGGATTTATTCGTAGCCACAGACGAGCGTTCACATCCACATGTCGATCCTCAGGAGTCCCTCGTTGTACTTTTACCCTGTAATGGATAAAAACAGAACATCATTCAAGTTCAAAACACCAGGAATCATCTGCGATGCCCCTCCACCTCTCTTTCCTCACTCCTAAAGCTAAAGCTGTTCATCATTAGTAGGATTTATGTCTTCACTCTGCTCTGCATGAACAAATATGTCTGCCACCAATCACACACACCCTCTCAGCCGCCACCTGCCTGCTGTGTAACCTGGCTTTGACTCAGAAACACATGTACGACTGCACACGCCTCACCTCAAGGGAAGGGCACTCTGGAGTGGAGAGGCATGCAGCGTCTGTGAGGACAGTGGTGTCTGTGGTACCGTTTCCTTGGGTTTAGGAAATCTGAAATCAACAAGTGTATTAATGTATAACTCGTCGTGGTTGTGCTTTGATTCCAGGCAGACGTTCGTACCCCCAAATTTGAGCAGAACTTTTGTAGGCCAGCACAGAAACAGCTGGGACACACAGACCGGATCATTTTTAAACGCCCCCCAATAAATCCACTAAAGAGTCCCGTGGTTCACAGGCAGCAAACCGAGCCCAGGAAGGGATAAATGACTGGATGACTTTATGACTCCCCCCCCCCCCCCCCCCCCCCCCGGCCACCCGGATCCTTCTATCAGAAACTCCCCACACCTGGAGGAAGGCTCCTTCCACTTTGCTCTGCTGCTCCATGTCATGTTAATAAACCCGTTATTTGCATGGAGTTTTAACACCAGACTAACAAAAGCCCTCCGGAGGACAAAAGGGCTGCCCTGGGGCTGCTGTCCTCTCCACCATCAGCACATCTGCTTCTTTAGATAACCCCTGCCCCCAAAGCACACGGGTAAAAACATTACCTTGGAGTAGGGTTTAATTTTTTTAAGCCCTGTAAAAATTCATATGAATGATTTTTTTTTCAGAGCTCGTCCCAATCGTTATCAAGAAGACTTCAGTGACAGTAAAAGTTTCACCTTCGTTAGTTTTTTCTCACAATCACTTGCCTAAACTACGGGCTTAAGGACGCTTACCTGGCTTGGTGGCGTAGACTGGTGCCAACATAGCTGCAAGCACCAAGATCAGGAAAAGCACGTTAAAAACCTGCATTGCTTCACTGGAGGAAAATGGTAGATTATAATTTTCCTAAATTCTGGGATTTCCTTCCAGTTCAGATTAACTGATGCTGCCCAATTTGTCTTCAGGCCTGTCCTTGTAGTCCAAAGAGCCCACCAAGGTGAGACTCCAGCAGCAGCAGCTCTTTACTGCGGAGAATCAGCAACTCCCACAAGATTGTGTGTGCAGCTGATGGTTGGTTGTCTTCTTCTGAGAGCAAAGGGATAAAGGTGCATCTCCCCCATCTCCTTTATACAGCCTCTAGTGGGAGGGGTGCTCTTCACTCCCTGGTACAGCCCCCACCTTTGGTCCACACACACACACACACACACACACACACACACACGCACGCACGCACACACACACACACACACAGCTGTGAGTTACTGATATATTCAGAGTGCAGAAGTGGCAGGCAGAGCAGATTTATCACCTTTAACATCAGAGCACGGATTTAAGGAGCTGTAACTGAAAGTAGCAGGTCCTTCATGTGAGCCCCTCTCGTTCGCCCCTGCCCCCGCATTAATGAGGACACACATTTGGGGGGGGGGGGGGGGGGGGGGGGGGTCCTCTGGTGTGCCATTTGCAGCTGAAAGTGTGTGTGGGTTGGGGGCTGTTGGCCTTATGCATCAGGCTTTTAGGTGTCTGACTGAATGAACTCCATTGCTTTGCTGCAACAGTCACAGAAGTGCTTTTCTTTGATCCCACCTACAGTCTGTAACCATCTGCTGAGTTTGGAAACATTTAGTTTCTGTATGTTTAAGTAAAAAACTCGGAGATTCATTAAACCTCCCTATGAAAGACTTGAGAGCTGAATCCCACACAACCAACTATAGGAAAGAACCGTAAGTTTTACTTATGTTAAGTTATTTTCTCAAATCAATTCCAAATTTAAATAAAAACAGTGATGTTTTTGTTCTTTGAAGAGAGGATGTGAGATGTCAGATAATCAGCATAGTTATTTATAGAATAATAATTTCCAAACAGCGCTTTTCCCTGGATGTTTTCTAGGTTTTCTGGTAGTGAAATTCCAAGAGGGATTTTCCTGCCACTTTACTTGGCATTAGCGCTTCGTCACTGACAGTGTGTGGACTCATTAGTGTGTCTGCTGTGGACTGAGGCTCCATTCAACACCCAGCTAATGAATTAACACATTAAGATGAAATGTTGGCCATTACATGTGAATGAGGATTAGAGAAGCAGCAGGGCATTAATGGACCAACATAGTCTCAAAATAGCCAAGAGACTTTGAACACGCATCTGGACCTCAACTCTGTCAAAACAGGCCTGGGTCCGTTTCCATTATTATTAAAGTGATGTGCTGTTATTTACACGCTGTCATGTCCCCTTTTATTGCTTTATGATGTTTGCAAAAATGCAGCCTGAAATGACAGAGATTCCTTGTGGATTTGGCCTACACACACACACACACACACACACACACACACACACACACACACACACACACGCACTAAGCTAAGGTATGTGGTATGTTCTCTTTGCATAATAGCTCCCATTGTCTTTTAAATAACTTGTATTCTCCCAGTTTAAATATGTTAATTTGGTCTTGATTGTTATTCGACGTGCACGTGGTATTCTCTGCTCTCTGTTTTGCCACATTTCGTCTCGGTTTCTTAAATCAGAAACAAGAGAATCATGCCAAACTCTCTCACCAGTCTTCAGCAGGCAGATTGTAATATTTGCTCCTCATGGGGATGAAACTTGTTTACAAGGATTACTCAGCTTGCTCAAACACTGTTTTACGACACAGCGGGCTACAACTGAGCACACACACACACACACACACACACACACACACACACACACACACACACACACACACACACACACACACACACACACACACACACACACACACACACACACACACACACAACTGCTGTAAAACTGTCACGACTACTGTCAGAACATCTGCTGTCTGGTGTTCCCTCTCATTTAGAATATATTCAGTTCATGAAATCTTGAAAATAATTAGTCCAACATCATATAAGTCTAGGGTAAATTTCTGTCAATGATGTAAAAAACAAAAGCTTATAAATCTAGACAGACAAGAACTGAAGAAAGATTTTTTGGTCTGCATGTTGGTCTAGCCACACTCCATAGGAGCCTCAGCAAGCCTGCCATTGGCCTGAGCAGTATCGTGTTGCTCCAATCACAGCACTCTATGGGTTTAGTGAGTGGGATGTCACTGCGACTGAGCGAAATCACAAAGACAGCGACTGCTCCTTTGAACAGCTTTGGCATCAACTTTGAACTATTTAGACTTGAGCTCTTCTTTGAGTCAAGAGCAGATGTACTTATGTCCTTTGTTTAGAAAAATGAGAGACACACACGTATTGACAGTCGTTTTGCTCTCAGGTTTCTCCAACAACTGGGGATTATTGCAAAACAATTCCCCTCCAGGACAACAGAGGGCGTAGCACTAGTCCACGATAGTGTATCTACTATTGTATTTATATTGTTTTAATGTATTTCAAAGACTTTTTAACCCAGACCATTTTGTCCTTTCTTCCTCTTCACCTCTTCATGCGATCAGCACCTCAAAACCCATGTTTCTCGTCTTTTCCATCCACGAATAAAACGTTTGCTGCATATCTTTGTACTCCGTCAGTCACGGGTGAACAAACGTTCACATTTTCAGACTTTTTCCGCAATCCATTCTTCAATCTGTTCTGTTGCCGCTGAATATTTCTTTACTTTTTGCTGTTTACGAATTTACAGGAAGCAGCATCCTGACCATTCACAAGCTTGCATTCGTCTCCGTAAAGTGACAGTGTGTATTTTCCCTGGCGATAGGAGGTAGTAGATACCTAAATCGCTGCAAGAAAGCATTATTTTTGTGTTCAAGTAAGACCTTACCAACAGATAGCTTTGCTCCTGTTTCTTTGCCTGAGTTAACCAAACTAGTTAACTCTATGAAGACCTCTGCATGCCCCCTCCACATCTTACCCTCATCTTTGTTTAAAAGTGCTTTTCAGTCCATCTGTCCCAGTGTGCTCTCTATAATTAATGCTTCTCTGGTTTCTGGTCAGGTCCCTGCTTACTTTAAGAATGCTGTAATCCACCCGCTTCTTAAAAAACCGAGTCTCGACCCCTCTCTCCATAGCAGCTTCAGACTCATCTCTAAACTTCCGTTCATCTCCAAGATCTTGGAAAAGATTGTGGCTAAACAACTCACAGCTGCTCTTGATGAACATAACATCTATGATAGCTTCCAGTCAGGTTTTCGTAGAACTCATTCTACTGAAACAGCTCTTCTTAGGGTCTCTAATGACCTTCTGACTCACAGTGATGCAGGGGACTGTTCTGTTCTAGTCCTGCTGGACCTGACTGCAGCCTTTGACACTGTTGACCATCACCTGCTACTGGAGAGGCTGAGAGGCTGGGTAGGCCTATCAGGATCTGCTCTGGAGTGGTTCTCCTCTTATCTCTCTAGCCCCCTTCAGACAGGCCATGAAAAACGGAAATGTTCCGGAATCTGTCCGTAAGACCTTTCTGTCTGAATACAAACATCCGGATAACGTGTTCCGGAATTTATCCGGACGAAGCCCCTAGTAACAGGTCCGGACATGTTACGGACAGGGTGGCTGCTTCAGATTGGTGAGGTAAAGTTCCGGACAAGGGGGAGGGGGAGGAGGAGGGGACCGGGGGACGCTGTGCACACCTAGATAGCCCGCTGCTGTAGCATGCGGCGAACCACGGCAGCTCGCCTCCTACGGTACCGTCTAGACGCGCGACGGAGCACTTCACACCGCTTCAGTGATTCCTTTAACCATTGAGCTTCATCATCCAGGTCTCTTATGCGTCTTCGTGTGCGCAGAATTATGCTTAAGCGCCTCATGATTTTTATCTTGAGAGGCGCTATAGAAATGATATTTTCTTCTTCTTCTTCTTCTTAACATGAGTCCGATTCTCTCTCCCCCCACCACCCCCCGCCGCCGTCAGACATCTGGAACTTTTCCCTGCTGTGTGAACGCAGCCGAAAGGACAAGTTCCGGTACAAAAGTGGTGTGTCTGAAAACACAGTTCCGGTTAAAAACCGGATTGAATTGTCCGCAAATGTTCCAGAATGTCTGTCTGAAAAGGGCTTCTGAGCGCTCCTTTTCAAGTTTAGGTCCTCCACCACCTCTCTTACCCATGGTGTCCCACAAGGTTCTGTGCTGGGGCCTCTGCTCTTCCTCCTCTATCTGCTCCCTCTTCAGCACATCCTGAGCTCCTTCAAAGGAATCTCCTACCATCTTTATGCAGATGACATCCAGCTGTACATCTCTTTTAAGCCCCATGAGATGTCTAAGCTGCAGCTGTTACACACCTGCTTAGACTCTATCAAAACCTGGATGGCTGGGAGCTTTCTTCAGCTGAATGAAGATAAGACTGAGATCCTCATCTGCTCCCCAGACAAGCTGGTTCCCAAAGTCAGAGACTCTCTTGGTCAGCTTGCTTCTCACACCAAACCTTCTGTCAGGAATCTTGGTGTGACCTTTGACCCAGCTCTCACCCTGGATTCTCATGTCAGTTCTCTTGTTCACTCTTCCTTCTTCCATCTCAGGAACGTCACTAAGCTGAGTCCCATTCTGTCTCGCTCTGAACTTGAGACAGTTCTCCACACCTTCATCTCCTCACGCTTAGACTACTGTAACTCTCTTTTCACGTGTCTGGGCAGAACCTCCCTGAACCGTCTACAGGTGGTTCAGAATGCCTGTGCTCGGCTTCTGACCAAGTCCTCCAAACACACCCACATCACCCCGCTTCTCCTCCAGCTTCACTGGCTGCCAGTCAACTTCAGGGTTCATTTCAAGATCCTGGTTCTGGTCTATAGGGCCTTACATGGACAAGCACCATCTTACATTGGTGATCTTCTTAGTCCCTACACCCCCAGTCAACACATTCTCACACCCTAAGCGTCGGAAGCAAACGCTTGGTCAGCCACCCTCCACGTCAGACCCCAGACGCCAAAGTGCCCTTTTTTGTTACTTATGTGCGAAAAGGGTTTTTTCCCTTTTGTAACTGCAGGTCCCAATGCAGCGTAAAACTGACGTTATTAGATATCCGCCGATGCGGCACAGAACCAGCTCATTTAACCGCACCTAAACCTTAACGTTTCACTATTTATAACCTTCCCCTCTCCCTCATCCTAACCTTAACCCTCTTGCTACCTAAAACGTTACTCTCACTGTGATCAAGCGTTTGTTTCCCGTGCATTCTGACTGAGTTTTCGTATTTGCCGCCCAAGGGGAACGTTAGAACATACCATCTGGCGAGGGG